GCTAACGTCTCGCTACCACGGCGAATCAACAAATCCCGATCTGCAAGTTGCCATGCTGTCACCTGCCGCACGTAAACTGCGTGATAGATACACACTTTAGTCCGTGGAAGAGTAGAAATTAGCACCAGCCGGAGGTGGCAAAACTTTATTGGTACAGATTTATTTATACGGCCAATTAAAGTGAACCATGCAGTAATGTACTCATATAAAACAGGCTTTGAAATAATTCACTTCTATCGCCCATATAAAGACACTGGTGGCCTTAACGTCTTGCCATATGAGGTGGAACTGACATCTCTGCGCCAATGGACTAATTGTCCATTCTTCTCTGGAATGGCGGGGAGTTGATGAAATAAAGTTAAAGTAATTTCTTGCTCAAATGAGCATTAAGGTGGTGCTCATCTCGTGTTTGCAGCTCTGAGCCAGTGGTGGAAATTCCTCATTCCCATTACGATGGGGGGGGGGGGGGGGTGCGAGTTTATCCAAAGGACAACCACTGCTGTCTTCCCTGCAACGTGGTACTCGTATTGATGAAACCTGGAGTGATAATGGGTTGAGTTTATCCATCCCCCCCACCCCCCAAGCAGGAACTGAATTCCCCGTGCCGTTCGCCGTGCCGCTGAGCCACCTGGTCGGATTTGGGATTTTGTATTTCGCTTCAAAGCTGTCGCTCGTTACGCCTCCATCTCAATAATTATTATGCAAATGTATACCTCCATACTCTATTACTTTACCCGCAAATATATGTGTAGTATATCCTAGGTTGCGCAATAATTGACTTGATTTGACTACGAAAGTGTAATTTGACTGAAACTGATGCAGCGTGTTGTTATTTATTTAGTATTGATATATTAAATGACTATTGATGCCTAATATGTTTTCACTATTGAGATATTATATTTTGTGGTCATTTTGTTTTGTTTTCCTTACTCATTTAGGGGGTTTTCTTCCTCTTTGTCGTTTGGTGACCCAAGTCGCTCTTGCAAATGGGACGATATTTCGGTTAAATAATAAAATCGCCTTTTGCGCTGTTGGGACATGAAAAGCGCCTCCCGTATGGATGAAGCAAGCGCTGTTAGCGAGCTCCTATTAAGGGCGGTACGGCACACGGCGGGGGTGGGTGGCCAACACCATGCCCGGACGCCTTTGTCTCCCCAGTGCTGATGCTTACGTTCCGCACCAGGTACTCATTTAAGGCAGAGTCGACCTAGGGGAGGCTCAGGACCGATTTAGATATTCGTCACCGATTTTGTCCTCGAGCGCGAATCGAATTCGCGTCGCCGGGTTCGTAGCACAGAGCGCAAACCACGAACCACTACCGCTCCCCACAACCAAAGACAAAGATTCCCCGTATAGCGTTTAACAGACTGTTGAAACAAATGCCGCCAGCATCACCACCACCACGCACGCACACGCGCTCCGCACCCGAGTCTATATGGTTCTCTATAACTCTCGGTCGTGGCGGGGGCTATGGCATCAGCCCCTTTAAATGAGGCTGAGCGGGCGCCGATAGATCAGCGCGTCCCTCGAGGAGATGAACCAATTACGGACACAGAGAGAGAGAGAGCTCGCCTGTTCTGACCTGCGCCAGATTGCACGCGATGGGAACGCGCGGCGCGCACACGCCGTTCATCTCCATCGCGAGTGCGCAGCGAGTGGGGCATCACCACCGTCACCACCACCACCTCCACCACCACCACGGACACCACCAACCCCCATGCTCTGCGTCCCACACGACGGCGTTACGCGCCGGATCGAAGCGTTTCACCGCACGAGCGTGAATTATTCGCCTACCGCCTTGCCTCGCATACACGCTGCAGAACCACCTGGCCCCGTTCATAAATCGCGTGACCGATCTTCAAAATACGCGCCGACACGACGCAATCCGCTTCGGGTGGTTGCGTTGTTGCTGCTGCTGCTCCTACGGTTGTGCATTGCCACGTAATACGCATCATAAGTCCGCACCGGAAAGTAAGACGCGGTCCAACCATTATATATACGGAGTAGTAGCTCTTGTAATCTCTCATTTACTTAATACAGCTGTTGTGGCTGTGACGGTTCAACCTGAAGACGGAAGCTTGTGTTGCCTCCGAAACGTCGTGATTTTTATTTTATTTTACTTTAATTAATTTTAATTTTTTTACCTACGTGACTTTACCGAAAAAAAACCTAAGAATATGAATCCTTGCAGTCACTAAAACTTCAAATCTAGAATTAAAGTTATGCAAATCTGGTCACTCTCGGACTCACACACACACACACCTGCCGGATTGTTTGACGGAACCTCAAACTTTTTCTTTTAAAATACAGAGAGGGGGGGGGGGGGGCGGTGGAAATTGCGTCTTATCATCCGTAGAATATCTGAAGACGCTCTGATGGCATACATACGCAGCGCGGTGAAATCAATACCGGCGGTAGTCGGGTTGGCCCTTCGTGGTCGGAGCGGGGATCTTCTCTCGTTCCTTCTGCGCTGTCCGCGCGCGTCCCCGCGAGTCTGGTCGCGTCGGCCTCTTGTTTGTGCCAGCGGATTTTTTTTTGGATTCGAGCGATAAGAGGCGCGTTTCCCACAGGGGTCGCGGCGACCTCTGTCCAAACAGCTCGGACAAACACGAAGTGCAAACGTGGCTCTACAAATCTTCGGCCGGTCCGAAATAAAAAAAATATAGAGGCTGCAAATTATAGACAAAATGCGCACGCGTGCACGTGCGGTGAAATTCTACGCAATCGATTTTTTTAGAGGGGGAATAGTAACATTGCACAAATTGTGTCAAAGCCGATGTCCTGTCTTTGCGTTTTTTATCACAGCTCTTTTCCAAACCACTGCTATACGAAGGCCTCACCCATGCCGTGTCGGTCGGTGGTGACAATTGACCATACTTCACCACGCTGGTCGTATGTTTTTATGTTGAGCTTCTCTCGCACTGTACGTAGCCAGCCGCGTTAATCGTAGGTGCGGGTTGGTGAATTGTTAGCAGAGTGTACATGACCGGTTCAAACGTCACTCTCGACTGATGTTAGCTGTAGCCAGAAATTGAACTCAACTCCCTGGGGCCTTTAATGCATTGCTTCACCCTTTGTTTTTCTACACTAAAACTATTGATATGTTCTTCTTATACCAACTCAAAACAGGTGGAATTGATGCTCAGCGAGCTTAAAACCAATTTACAGGTTCACGTCATGGAAGTAGGAGTAATGTTGTTAGTTTATTTATTCAATAAACCCTGGAGGATTTTGAAGACTGCGGAGGATTTAGCATTTTGATGTTTGGTCAATTCCATTAAAAAGTGTTTACCTTTGAAGAGGAAACGGGAGCACCAAGAGAAAACCCAGACAACCAATGGGGTTTCACATGGATACAGATTATTGCTGTCATCTTCTTCGTATGGCTGATGTTGTAATGTAGACCAACGATGACATATAACACTGGTCAACAAAAAAAAACTTTTTTTTCTGGCCTCGACTTTTGCAGCTGTTTAAGACTAATTTCAGGGTTCTGATTCCAAATCTGATCTCAGATTTGCTCTATCACATCTCATTTTATGCTATCGGCATACTCCATTTTCATTGATTTTACCCGAAATTAACTCTTTCACTTATGATTGCAAGTTGTTGCGAGTGAGTGACTGCTTTAGTGTTAAAATATGGTGCTGTATTTTTAGGATAGTGTGTTTATAATATAATTTTATGTAGATATCCACATTTATTTAATATTTTTCTTCTGCAGTTTTTATTGAAAATGCAATATTTGATATCTCAAAAACCGTTGGAATACCTTATGCCAGAAAAAGTGTGACCAGTGTAAGCGTTGAGGTGGTCGTGCCACATTGCGTCAGTAGTGGAGTGTATCGCTGTGATGATGCCTCCTTCGCATTTGTGAATCGGGTATCTTCTGGGTGACCACAGCTACACGCGGGAGAGTGTTTTAACAATTAGGGTTGCCCATAAGCTTTGCGGAAGATTGAAGACAGGGATCTTCTGCGTCGAGAGTCTTTGAGGCGGTGTTATTGCTGTAATGCCATCTCTAGTGGTTGCGTGAAAATCAGCTATTTGTATTGGCATCATTGCGGAGAGGCAGCATACATTGAAACTGCACGAAGCCTACAGAGGCTTTAAACATACAAATATGAAGCCACTGCGCAGCGGAGATGTAAATGTTTTGGGAATTTATACGACGTAACGGAGAAGATCCCAACAATGCATGATAAACAGATGTGCCTATGCTGTCACAACACATTTACACAATGTCCTTTGAATAAGTAGCACTTACCCGCGCATTTTTATTTAATTTTTTGATGTCACACGCCGTAATTTTTTCTTCTTTTTCTTTGTTGACTCAACTGTAATCATGCTTCTCACAGCATTAATTTATTACATTGTTCATACCAAATGGCACCACAGTTTTGAAGGTGGCATTTTTCAAATGTAATTGGCAGCATAACATTTGCAATCCACTCGCAAAGGATGAGACAGTGCTCCCAGATCAGAGATCTACATCTAAACACGTGGTGAGATCATCTTCTTGGTTCTTTCGGTAAAGTCACGTAGAATGGAAATAATAAAATAAAACATAATAAAATAATTCTCACGACGTTTCGGCCACAACGCAAGCAGCCGTCCTCAGGTGAAGACCAGGTCTGTCGGGGAGACAGCGTCTGAATGAAACAGCACCATGCTTGGAGCGTATATTTAAGCTGGGTTGGAAGGGGGGGAAGGGCGCCTTGACAAAATAATTTGCATATCAAAATATGCTAAATTCCTCTTGATATGCAAATTTTTTTGTCAAGGCGCCCCCCCCCCCTTCCAACCCAGCTTAAATATACGCTCCAAGCGTGGTGCTGTTTCATTCAGACGCTGTCTCCCCGACAGACCTGGTCTTCACCTGAGGACGGCTGCTTGCGTTGTGGCCGAAACGTCGTGAGAATTATTTAACGCTTTATTTTATTATTTTATTATTTCCATTCTACGTGACTTTACCGAAAGAACCAAGAAGATGAATCCCTGCAGTCACGAAAGCTTTAAATCGAAACATGGTGAGATGTTTACCAAGTTAGAGATGCACTTGTATGAGACTCTCGACTGGACTCAGTTGAGAGTCCCATAACAGTAATGGAGGCTCCTCGAAGGTCAACCGTTTCATGCGGACACTTGGGCACGCTGTCAACACTATAGTTATTTTAAAATCTGTGAAGCTCCTCACTCGTGAGTTATATTGATGTGTTTTATGGTTGCACTGCATGTTGTACAGGACGATATCCGACGTTTCGCGCCACGTGGTGGGCTCTTCTTCAGGAACTGAATTCTGAAAGAAGCTCCCAATACATGAAGCAAAACATCGGACATAATGCAGAAGAACACGTGGTACAACCTGAAAACACATCAGAGATAGACAGCACAACTGCGAACACCTATGCAGTGGCTGTCACTCAAAGCCAATAAGTCGAACGCTTTACTGCTGATATGGGTATGGGATGGCACTCATATCATGTTTACAGCCCAACGCCAATGGTGGAAATTCCACATTCCTATAGTGGGAGTGAGTAATTCCATAAGACAACCAATATGGATTTCTGATAAAGTGATAATTTATCAATCATGATTTAAATTCGGGAGACTTCCAATTGTAGACCTGTATGCTCCAACAACTGCGGTACCCAGCCAGATCCGCCACTTTTAATCTGAAATAACATGCAACTGCTTTAGTGTGAGCGTGGACGTGAATAACAATGCATCATTTGAAGTTGTTAAAATTGATCAAATACTGTGAGCACTTATCCCCTCCTATTCATCACGGATTCAGACAAACATTCACTGATGCCACTCATTTAAATGTATCATGCTGCTCTTGCATGGACTTTGTGAAACTGAAGAAATTCCACCTTGACTTAGTTTTTTTCCCTCAATACTAGAGTATATTTATCCATTATACACTGTATAATGTTCAACACATATTCCTATTTTTGATCAATTCGAAGCATGTTTTTTTTTGTTTTACACCCAGACTCTTGTTTGCCCAGTAATACATAGATTATCCACAACGTTCAAGGCTCAGATAAGCAGTGACTGCAAGAGAACTGGTGTAACCATGGGGTGATTTTGTCCAAATCAGGGTTCTTCAACTCGTGGCCCGCGGGTCACATGTGGCCCCGTGAAGGCCGTTGGCAGTAGCCCGCCAAGATATATGGCTCACTGATACATAAAGGGATACCGGTTATTGAGATGAAAGAGAGATAAACATCTCGAAATTTGAGAGGTATTGACAATAGATAGTGACTCGTGATATGAAACCACGATAAGCAAGGTAAATGAGACCTGGACACTCGAGGGACAGATAAAGAGGTCATATACAGACATTGTCACGAAGCCAAGTGACGTAATGACATGACCTTCACGTGGCCTGTCAGATGTGCCAATTTTATTTTGTGGTCCACCAGACAATGTCGTTGAAAAACCCTGGCCCAAATAAGCCAACACACGCTCCTGCATTAATGGGCTTGGGATAGGCCTTTTTTGCAATACAGCAGATACAATTCGCATTTTCTTGTTTGAAATTGAAAGTGTGACCCATGTGTAATTGACTCCTCAAATTGTTGTCGGGAAAGTGTCTGGGGAGCTTAAAATCTGCATGATTAAATTCTATCCAGTGTCCTTTCATTAATCGAGGGAGAGCTCATTGATATACAATTTGTCGCATACAAGTCGTAATGAGTGACACATTATTATAATTTCGCAAAAAAAAAGTTTGATAGAATTTAAACGTTAGTGATAATGTACGTCTTTAGTTGTGGGGAGTGGTGGTGTAGCAGTTATCACACTACGCTACGAATCCAGCGACCCGAGTTCGATTCCCGCTCACGACCAACACCAGTGACGATTATCTAAACCAGTCCTGGGCCTCTCCTAAGTCGACTCAGCATCAAATGAGGTCCTGGTTCGGTGTGTAATCATTATCACTCGGGAGACAAAGGCAGCCGGGCGTGGTGCTGAACACTCATTCCCTCGTGTGCCGTGCTGGCCTTCAGAGGTGATCGCTAACAGCACTTGCATCAAAACAATGTCACGGCTATATAGGGAAAAAATTGTTAAATTTGTATCATTTTATTATTTCCCTTCTACGTGACTTTACCGAAAGAACCATGAATAGCTCTCATACTCTGATGGTGCATTGATCTTGAGTTGTGCACCTTTTGGCATCATCTGGTCCAACACCATGTGAGACTAGGCTCTAAGAAGAGCTGTCTCGGTAACCAAGAATAGTGTATTTTTAGTATATATTTCTTTGTTTATTTGGTTACCTTTTCTATACTTTGCACTCCTATCGTGTTTTTGTATCGTTTGTTGTTGTAACTTTCTGACCTGCCCCTACTGGACATCTGTGAAAAAGAGCTTCAGGGTCACGATGCAAATGAAAAATGGATTTTGTCTCGTTATTAGTTTCGTTTGCATTGTGTCTCGATCGTTTTCATTTGTTCTGCCACTCCCTTATATAGCTTGGTTTGCGCTATTAGACTAAATGTAAGATTACACATTTAAATTTGCATATACGTTGCATCATCGTAAAGAAACCATCCTATGTCAATGCGTGTTTTTTTGCGATCATAATCTATAAACAACAAAAAATGTTTAATTGATGCATTGTTGCATGCCCGGTTAATGCAGTGTGCATCCACAATATGCCGACGTATACACAGTGAAATACAGCGAGACTCATACACTCAACAAATTCCATAGGCAGTTTGAACATGTTTAACAATCACATATTACACTCCATGGCAGTTAAAGATTGCGCTATTGGCTTTTGTAATTATTATCATCTTTACATTAAATACAGATATACAGGTTACCTTGTAACACACAATGTAAATTAAGTATTTGACAAGTCAGTGCACATATAATCCTTCCGAATCCCTTACGCTATTCAAATATAAGAAATCATGAATTCAAATGACTGTACACAAGCATTATATTTATACGAATACTTTGCTTAGTTCTTTGTCATAATGCCACCGTTTGTTAAAGAAAAGAAACGTTTCGGAAACAAAATGCAAAGTTCGTTACAAAACAAAACCTTTACATTGTTGTTAAATTGCGCTGTATTATACGAATTTTCCGCGAACACCCGCTTTGCTAGGATACCCTTCGAAATTCAACAGCATGTCGACACAGCACAGTAGTTACACAATCAAGTACGTAAAGTAAAACATTATCATCTTACATTTTTTTCTGCTCGGCAAAAAAAAACCCCACAGCTTTAAACAATGATGTAAAGGCTTTTTTTCCCACAACGCCATGGCAAAAGGACATCGCTCCACGTGTCTATTTTCACCGAGTCCCAGGAGTAACGGCTTCTACCCAGAGCCTCGTGCGAGACGCATTTCATTATCAGGACGATGATGGAAAAGTGTGTGTGCCCATAACATAGTGCAAATAGTTATCCTTACCCAGGTCAGGCCAGGCAACGTCTCACACGAAGGCTTTTTTCTCTTTTACTTGACCAAACACAAAAAGCACCATGTGATTGGGTCTCGTCGCAACTCAGCCCGATTGCCTCTGCATGCAATCACCGGTTCCAATTCTCTTGTCCGTAAATAAATCAGCCGACACGAACCACATCCAAATGACTATACGCAGAGTACAGTTATGTAATTGCGACTCGCCGTTAGTAACAAATACACCGTCCCCCCCCATCCACAACAACAATGTGCTTCAGCACAGGACAGGAGCGCAGGTTTCACGTTTAACATTGTAGAAGTTGTGCATGTGTTCTCTAGGCTGTAAAATTGCTACGCTTTAGAGTCAATAGACAGTGCAATGAATTTATAGCGCCGGGTACAAAAAAAGGTAATAGAGAAACAACATCCATGCTCCACTTGTGCAGGACCACGGATTGTTAAGACAGTTATTATTATCAAATGCAGAACGCAATTCATTTGCAGCAAAAAACATAAACAGATCGGCAAAAATTATTGTTCATTAATGTGGGTGTGGGTGAAGTCCGGTCATTTTTTGAGCTGATTCTTTTTCTTCTGCATGTATACAACAACTCATGATGTAGTGTCCAGCTTCTGTGTTGCGGAGGATGGCTTGGTGGTAGTGGCATCCTGCTTGTTGAAAGCTGTGATGAGTTCTGCATAAACATTGTTCCACTCTGTTAATTAAGTGCCTTACATATTTTGGCATCATGTTCTCTTTTGAAGCTCAACTGATTTTTACCTAATCCACCATTTGATGCAACTTTCATTGGCCGCCTTAATGGAATCAGCCGTGAATATGCATTCACTCTTATGTAGCGATCCATGGGCTGGTAGCATCATTTTTTTCAACCTTGTGTAGCTTTGTAAAAAAACTAACGTTGTTGTAGAGAGGCTGGTCTTTTAGTCAAAGATCCCAAAAAGAACATCCCGATGGCAAGAGAGGAAAATACATAAAAGCACACATCCATATTCCACAATTGTCCTGATTTGACTGGTAAAATGCTTTTGGATCATACACTTGTCTTGATTTGACTGATTCCACTGTGATGGATTCCATGTCTTCCACTTTGACTGGTAAAATTACTTTGGATTCTATACTCATCCATATTTGACTGATTAAATTCTGCTGGATTCCACGTGTTCTGATTTGACTGCTGCATCTCTGCTCTGGCCATCCACTGTAATGGTTCTTGCTCTCTTGACTGGCAATGTCGACGATGTTCCTCATGGTTTTCACCATTTACACAAAGGTCTCCCAAGTGGTGGACGAGTTGCTTCCTTTGTCTGATACAGGCACGTTGCTTTTGCATCCAAAATGCACTTTGTAGTGCAGCGTGTGTGCTGGTACCCACAGAAGAGCTTGCATGAATCAGAATTATGTTGGTCTTATCTCATTATGTAACTTATTTTTATGTATATATACACCAAGTGTAAGTCTTTACACGGTATGTACATATTTTCCACAAGGTCCAAAAAAGCAGCTGATTGTCTAGCCATAAAAGTTTGTGTGGTTCAGTCCACAGGACACAACAACAACAACAAAAACCCCGACAACGAACCGTGGAATCCGCTCGCTGGTTGCGCCGACCCTGCCCAGACGAGGGGGTCGCCGCTCCCTAGAGGTCGATGTCACCGTCGTACGCGAGGGTCACCGGCCTCCTCGGAGAGGGGCGCTTCACCGGCCTGCGTATGGGTCGCTTCGGTCGTTTGCTTGGGAGGGGAATTGGAGGGACGGCAAACGGAATGTTCCAATTGAGTTACACAAGCGTTCCATTTAAATGGAGGCAAAACAACGAAGCAAGGTTGAAGCTGAGTTTTGAAAAGAAACGGTCGTAATGGGCCCTCCGCGCTCTTTACCCCGTGCAAGCATGTGAATTGTAAACACGGCAACGGGAACTCAATCCCGAACAACACTGTTTCCGCCAGTAAGCACACAGTGTTATGCGAGCGTTACTATTATTGTTACAATTCACCACACCGTGCCCTTCAATTCCCACCCCCTCAGCTGCCCTTCACCCCCCCAACCCCTGGGGCAATTAAAAATTCAATTCACCAATAGATTTTTGTTGCTCCGTTTTTACCGCCTCATTTGTATTTGTCGTTCACACATTCTCAACGGACACAATTCGACGACTCGATGCATCGTTAGACACCTAATTGTTGCCGAATCCGACTTACGAGGAATTCAATTTTTTCAAGCAGAAAACGATGTCACACTTAAAAAAATAACTCGTATGAACCCTTGATATTTATTTTAAGGTCCAAAAATCAATGCGCAATTTCAGAGCGATTGGGTCTAGCACTTTAGTATCTCCTGGGCTCACGTTGGCTCCAAATCAATCCCTCCCCCGTGTCTCAACTCTCAGCCCGCAGGGAGGATGTAGCTAATTGCATCCTTCATGCTGACAAATTATTCTGCACAAACGCTAATGAAAGAAGAATCCACGGGTGAGTATTGATCATCTCGCAGTCCCAGGGAACCTCCACACTAATTATAGCTATCGCCACTCCTTAACGGCGCGATTTGAATTCTTCGTTTCCACAAACAACACAATATTTTATAAGAGCGTGTTATTACTGCTCAAGCTAACAGAAAGTGGCCTCTTGGCTTACACATGTAAATTTGAGGAGCTTGAAAAAAATGGGATTTCAAAAGTAACACCTTCATACGTTTTATATTTGAGATGATATTTGATAGTCCATTGTCAAACCACTGCTGGATGAAGACCTCCTTACACTGTCCTTCATGGGCATTGTTTGACCATACTTCACCACGCTGGTCAATGCAGGTTGGTGAAGGGGAGAGGGGGGTGGCGAGGAACCAGCTGAGATATCTCTCGCCGCTCATTGTCGCCGAGGCCGGGAATCAAACTGAGGTTTGCTGGGTTCATAGTTCAACACGCCAACAACTGCACCGCCACTTCCCTACGTTTTCTATTACTGTATCTTGCAACAGTAAAAAAAAAAACCCCTCAAAAATAGACATGTAACGATTCCTTCCCCCCCCACCCCTCCCCTCATTATTCAATGAATTGTCACAATCTAGGGTCACGATTTGATTTAAGAATCAATTTAGTTTTTACGCTGTGGCGAAGGTGGTGCCTCTCGCGGCCGAATGGTTCACGTAAACTCATTACTGTACGTACAAGATATAGGAATTGCAAATAATCGATACTTACTCGCACAATTTTCCGCACGTGTCGCGAGCATGAGAATCAATTTTGATTGAAGAATCGAAACATCATTACATGGCTACTCGCTGTGTATTTACTGCACCGTGCATGCTTTAGTAGTAATAATAATAATAATTATTATTATACTTTACCAGGCCAGATATATCATGGAGACGATGAAGATGAGGAGTACACACGCAGCCGCCGACACACCGTAAACCCACACTTTCAGCTTGCCATCTGTTCCGACAGGACAAGGGGGAGCGAGAAAAGAAACAGGCGCGGGGAAAGTAGACAAGGATTCGCTGTCAAATAAAATGTAGAACGTGTTCCAAACAGGAAGGGCAGATGGAGACGTGAAATCCGAAAATCCATAACGGCAAAACATTTTAACGGTTAGGGTCCTCCAGAGTGTTGCGTGTGTCTCCGAAACACTCGGTGAGCGTTTGCTCGACCGTGAAAAACAAGCCTCGTTTCCGTACGACGAGGCAATTTTAAAAGGGATGCCAGTTGAGGGACAAACGGTAGAGCATTCGAATTTTATGACACTATTTCACAACCAGCTCGCTGATATACAGTCATTTATGCAGAAATGGGCGCATTATTCCGGGCGCAGGAAAACTGGTGCACCTGCGAAGGCAGAACACATTAATCACGGCACTCTGGCTCTATTGACCGTCCACATCATGAGACAACATAAATGATGTCTTTTTCCCTGCGCACCACTGAAGTCAACCTGAGCTTGTATCATGTTTATGTCACTATTCATAATGTAAGAAACCCCCCCCCCGCCCCCGCCACAAACTTATTAAAATATACACTAGCTCAGTGAACCCATAATCAGCACCCATGATATATCCCAGGGGTCGGGAACCTTTTTAACTGGGAGAGCCATAAAAGCCAAATATTTCTAAATATATTTCATTGACAGCCATATAGTATTTTTAACGTATAATAAATTAAATATGTCTTACTTTTAATGCGACTTTTGGTCACGGGACCCGTGACCCGAGAAATTTTATCTTCAAAACTAATTTCTGTTTACTTTAAAATGACACAGTATTATTAAGCAATATCACAAGTATTTTAAAATCAGTTTCAAACTGATTTTATTTTTATTTTTTTATTATTATTTTTTTCAACTCAAAATTGTCTGGGAGCCATATGCCGTCACCGGAAGAGCCATAGATGGCTCGCGAGCCATAGGTTCCCGACCGCTGATATATCCACTGCTGGATGAAGGGCTCGCCAAGCCATCGTCATTTCTCACGGTGCAATATCCCATTGTAGCTCTGGCCTCCGACGCACAGGCTCGTGTCGTTGCTCAATTTCCACGATGGACATCCTCTCGTGCATGTTCCCTCCTTTGGCCGCACGCCATCGTTTTATCTCAGCCGAGGGCCATCATCCCTTCTCGTGAGGTGCTCTGCCCCAGCTCACGCACGTTTCCTGTGAGTCAATGTGATGCCTATAACGCGCGCTATGTTCTCTAATCCCTCTACCATTGTCTCGCGGTGTACTAGTCCAAGCGTCCACCTTGCTGTGGTTACATTTTCCTTGTCACTGTGCATTTGTTTCTGCTCTGTGTGGCATAAGCAGATGACATGCACTGACGAAACACGTTCTTTTCAAAACTACTAGGTACCTACAAGCAAACTAAAAACGAAAGCAGTAGCAAGACATATTGCAAGTATTTCGCTGTTTTAGATTTGTATGTTTTATTTTTGAGAATCATTTTACTTTGGAAAGTAAAGTGATAGCTGGCGAGAGGAGAAAAAAAAGTTAAAATTTTGTCTGCGTACTGGATCCCTGGACAATGCATTTGCTGTGATTCCAGGCGTGTAATTTAATGCCTAATGGAATGTAGGTCTCAACAGAGAACTCAATGCAATGTATAAAGTCTCAACAATGAGTCCAATAGGGCTGTGATTTACTGCCCTACCTGTCCAGGTTGGTCACGGGCTACATTCACGAGAGAGGCACAGCACAAACAACAGGGAAGTGGTGCCCGGTGGAGTCGCGATCAATTGATCGCCTGTAAGGCTGCAAACGAGAAATGCCGACTCACATCCTACCCCACGCGTACGTTATTGAAACAGAAGGTCGCATTCACATCGTGTTCAGCGCACCGTGCAATTTTCTCGAAAAGGAAATTTGAGGCCGAGGTTATTAAAACATGAGAATGGGTTGCAAGACTGGAGTGACTAAAATTAATATATTGAAAAGTGTTGACAAAACCTTGATATTGTCCATCAGCGGTGTAGACTATTTGAATATCCTTAGTATATAAAAAAACGTATCTTGTGTGAGCTGCAGCACTATATATCTGAATAAAAAAAATCTACGTCAATTTGCTAAAGTAAGCAATTTTAAATTCATTATATGTGTGAACAGTCTGATACAGAGTAGGGACCTGAATATTTCATGAAGATATAAGAACAATTAGATGTCTTTTCAACATCATGCATTTGTGAGGAACATATCTTCAAGTAAATTGACAGGCCTGCAAATTCAGTGATAACCCCCATAATAGGTATAGTCATTCATCTGTATTAGAAATCAGACACCAGACATTTGCTAGATAATCTTAAAAACCGCATTGCAAAGTAAAAGAGAATGAAAGTGAAGATAGGGGAGAGGTAAAGTGCAAATGGGAAAAACCAGTAATGATGGGATTTTAATGTAAATGGAATTTGCTTCACAGCAGTAATGGGAAAAGCTCTGACCAGGAATTAGTGCCGTATAAGTTTCACTTTTCTAGGCTTTGAGTTGCCAACAGACCAAAATAATTACCGATTTCATTTAAATGACATATATATCAGATTTGCAATTTACTTTTAATTTGAGTAAGTACCATTACCTGAATGAAAGTTATTTAGACATTCGATCGGACGGCTACAAATTAATATAAAAGCGCTTCCAAACAAAAGTCGCCTGACTTGCAAAGTGCATCGCATTTTCATTATGCAGACCCCTAGCGACCCTCAAAGCGACCTCCCTTCCTCGCCCCATGTCTCGACAGTAACAGTCGATCAAACGCAGCCAATTGGCCCGTAGATGACCCTAGGGCCTTCTCCACAGTAGCACTTTTAACCGACAAAACGAGTCTGCTTTAGAATGCTACCATATTCCCTTTTCTGGTTCTCACTCACAGAGTATCCAGACGAGTGGTCGGTGCATCTCCCTTCACGATCTCTCCACTCCCAGGGAAATGCAGCAAGTGACACCCTGGTCACCCTTCCAAATGAGATATTCCATTCTCAAGGGATTTTCCAAGTGATGTATTTGAAAAGAGGAAAAAAAGCAGCTATCTAAACTCACAGCCTACAAAGCTCAGCCGAGGTGAAGGGAAAATGACTGTCATTGGCAAGAGAGGGGATATTTCCAGGTGCCCGCACGGATAACCGCCAAAGATTAACCGCAGAGCATACCCATTGAACATATGCCTTTTCAGCACCAACCCAGCAACGCTCATTCCGACCAACCACAAGTAAACACCAAAGCACCCTGCCATCAGGATTTGGGCACCTTGTGCACTTTGCCCCAGACCCTTCATATGCTGCACAATCCTCCAGCGTGGAGCTGCGCAAAAAGGTTTCCCTACGGCCAGGAACGAGACGAGTTTCAGTAGAGATGCCGTGAGCAGGATTTTCACAGGGACTCGTTACTCGCTCAACCACAGCCTCAATTTACAGACACGGAAACCGATGGAAAATGGTGCTTCTCACCCAAGTTTCAGTGTGCAAAGCTACACCCAGTAGTGTGCTTCTCCAGTCCTGAATGCTGTAAAGGTCATTTTATTATTGGAGCCAGTACAAGCCCTCTGTTGCGGTATGACATTGGTGCTCAAGGCACCCCTCTGCCATCTGTTTCTCCAGTGCAGCTGTTGATCTGTCTGGCAATTTGTTCACCTGACTAGACATTGTCCCAGCCAGCCGCAATAACCACCTTGTAACCCCAACCAGGGGCCCTTCTGTATGAGAAGGGACCTGAAGGTCACGGGTAGCAGGGTCGCTTACTTGCCTGTGCAGGTTTAATGGAAGCATATCCACTACCTAATCAGTGACACATGATGACTCTCATCCAATTACAATTATGGTCGGGATGCAACTGTAATAAAGCAACATGTAGATCACAGCACACGAAGCCAGTCGAGGCCATGACAGAGGAGCAAATACACTTTGTCAAATGGTAAGTTGCTGAACTTATAACGAAAACATGTTTTTTTTGGAGAAACTGCCTTGGCAGTGGTGGACAGAGCACGCATTAACAAGAATCTCCACACATTCGTCATGAACACGGCCGTCACGGAAAAATACATTACGGACGCTGTGATGGGTAATGTCCCTTCTTCATAGGCTCGTGATGAAAGCGTGGCAATTTAGACTTTTGAAAATAGTAATTCTTCCCACTTCTCATTAAAACCCGTTGCTGGATGGTGGCAAACCTCGCACACGCTTCTGCATCTGCAAATATTCCAGGCCACACGAGAAAACACGCACGGGCGGTGCTCTGCGGTGACAGCCCGCACTCGGCAATTAGCCACAACTGTTTTGCGCGTACCAGGGCCGTAGGGCTGCATGGACCATGTGTGGAGAACATCGCCGAGCCTCGTGTCGCCGTTCGCGTCGGGCCGGCTCCGGCCAGCGCCATGACCGGCCACGACGTCCGCCCTGTGCTCACCGCCGCCGCCGCCGCCGCCGCCTCCACTGCCACTGCCGCCACTACCGGCGCCAGCTGTCAGGGTAACGCGCTCGCACCGCACCGCCGTCCCGCCCAGCGCACTCGCTCGTGAGAACCCCCGCGCACACTCGCACGTCCCCGCCTGCTCACGCACAGCAGAGAACGACGATAATAACGACCGTCAGTTTGTACTCATTCAATGCACTTATAATCATGTTACATAGCTTTGTCACGGTAGCAAGATGTTAACTACCTCGCCTGGTATACAGGAGGTCGTGGGTTCGATCCCGACCCTGACGCCTGCTGTAGCTTTGGAGTTTGCATGTCTCTCTCCCTGTGGCCGCGTGGATTTTTATCCCGGTACTCTGGTTTTTTCCTTCACATTTAGAAACACGCATTTAGAGTATTTGGCTGCTATAAATTTCCACGTGACAAGCCACTTTGTTGAGCTATCATTTGTGGCCTGGTCGCTTCTCAAAAGAGCTATATAGTTCAGTGGGCCTTACCTGGTAAAAAAAAATAGTTTAATTTTGTAGTTTAGTTTATATTAGTTATAGATGGATGGATAGATAGATAGCTCTCTCCCGATGGGGTTTTGGGTTGTTCAGCATGGATGGCCAATGTTTCGCTCCAGTGACTGAATAATTCCATGTGAATTCATGAATTCAATTCAAGAATTGATTTCTTGTAAGAACTCCCAACACGTGGAGTGAAACTTTGGATAATGACCCGATTAACACAAGATACAACCACAAGATACAAACAATTGCTATAACGTATGCAGTAATAATAATAATAGGTATAATAATGTAATACATTAATCTAGGAAAGCCTCAATACATCTCAACACTATTTTTCAGTAGGCTCCTGCACTGGGATGTTTGGCCAATTTAATTTAATTGAGTGTTTTCCTTTGTGTGGGAAGATATCAATGCACTTGGAGACAATCCATCCATATAATTGAATAACGCTTGAAGGTTAGCATGAACACATTCCTATCCACCTCAGAGTCAAGATAGTTCTGGAGTTTCACAAATCTATTCGATCCACTAACTCCTGCCTGTAAAGTGCTGGATCAGAGACACGCACAACCACGTCTGGCACCATTATTGACAGCCTCACTTACACAGAGTGCATTATAAGAAAAAATTTACCCGTAAAAACAAAGTTTTTCACTATAAATCCTTTATATGCGTGGCATCGATTTTATTTTATTATTCATTTCTGTTTTTCTTGAGTAAGAGTTTCATTTTTATCACATTGGTATTTTAAATTAAATATGAATTTTTTTTTTCCTAAAAAGTGGAAAAAAATTTCACGAAAATAAATTGTCACGCACAACGAGTCTGTGTGCAAACTGTCAGCTCGATTGGATCACGGGAAGTGGGTTAAAAAACGACCGAAAGATTTGCACGGTCGTAAGTGCGCAAGCAAGCAAGCGAGTGAACTTAATATAAAGGATTTAAAAAGGTGCTCGTGATTTGGCCAAATGTGACTTGCTCAAGCAAACCTTAAATATATGCCCCATTCGTCCTTCCCGATTAAGCATTGCAAAAATGCTCGGCAGGTTTTTTTCAAACAAACAAACAAACCCAAACAAGATCACACAGAAAGATATTGACAAACATGTGGTGGCCTAATTGTTTCCCTAATTAAGTATGGACATCCAAAAACGATGTTATTCGGCGCTTATCTTTGCCTACCACAATGTGTTTCCAGTGGCCGAGTTGTCTCTCGAAGTAGTTCAGTTAAAATATACCGTAGAAGCAAGCCCATCCCTCCCACACTCCACTTGGCATTATTATATTGAACATTGTGCTTTGACAAGCCTCATCACCAGGAGTGGCTGAGGCTCTGCGAATGGTTCAACTGATCTCATCTCACAAATTCTGGCACCGTGTGAAAGGATGAACGATGATTTTTTTATATATATAGATAAAGATGATGAACGTGTCATCTAAACATCAACTGCGGTCTCCCCACCTGTGTACAGAATGAGTTGGGTTTCGGGCAGGGTGGCTGGCAAGATCTCATCCTGGGCGGCTCGGATGAAGCGAGACAACCACCTGTGTTTAATACGGAGAAGGGCGTGTTAGGGGTTGAATGCATTTTAAACGTCATGCTCTCGAATGGGCTTTGTAAGAACACAGTATCAATAATCACGATCATACCGGTCACATTGATGCCATCCGATCGGGCACACCAGACCTCTCTCTCCGTCCCTCGCCAAGGCCCTGACCTCCACTGGTACTGAAAGCACTTTCCATCTGTTTGCAAGCACCACGAAGCAATGCATGTAACTCTTGCATTGCAACGACTCCCCGTCCTGCCATTAAAAATTAAACGGCGCTGTACGTGCTATCTTTTTGAAAAATGAACGGCACACCGCTACAAATTGCTTTAGTCCCACAGCTGCTATCACAGCATTGCAGCATTACCAGAACTATGGAAAAATCAATACCAAAACATATGACCATCACCGGAGTAAGCCAATGCCTTATGGTTAGAGTGTCTGCTTTGAGTGGGAGGTCAGAGGTTCAATTCCCTAGGCCAGTGTACACTGCCGAGGTTTGAAAATGATTGAGCACCTCTGCTCGGTGCTCTCCAGCACAGCGGCAGAACTACGGCTGAGCAATGCGAGTCAGAGAAGAGCGATCGCCGGAAGGTGCCAACAGTGACCACCCTGGGGACGATGTTGCCTCCGTGAATCACGGAATGTGAGTGAGCCAGTGAATATTAAAAGCACGTCTTCGTTCCAAGTGACAATGCTCAAGTTCAGGAGAGGAGGCGAAATAATAAACTCTATACCCTCATGCCACCTCAAGCGGAAATGAACACCTGCACAGCTGAATCGCTTGCACACAATTCCAAACCGCAGAACAAGTAAACGACTGAACACATCGGTATTTTGAATCATCTGCATCACCGAAACCAAGGATATCTGGAAATGATCCTCCACGTGAATACCTGGACCTACTTGGCGTCTCGGGGGAAACTCACGTGTCGTTGTTTTTATTCGGGTGGAAAAATCATTGCCAATATTGCGCGTTAACAAAGCTTAATCGTCAGCGACGACAGAAGCCGGACCCCGTGGCATGAGAAGAGGAGGGCGACTCACCGTCACACGGGCGCGACTCCCAGAGCTGCGCCGGGCAGGCGGCACGGCTCTCCGGCACCGCAGCTCCGAGGGCGACGCGCGAGCGCGCCTGCACGCCACGCAGCCCCACGTTGCTGCCCGTGGCGCACATCAGCTGACACACGCTCCAGTCGGACCACTTGCCCAGGCGGCAGTCTCCTGGGACGGCCGAGAGAAACATGTGAAACGCGCGCCGTGGAGCAGCCGGGGGGGGGGGGGGGGGGGGGGACAACGGTGCAATTAAACTGGGGAGATAAAATCATGTAGGTGCAAGGATTCCATAATGCTTTCGAACACGCGCTTGTCCTGAGATGTATTTAGTAAGTGATAGGGGAGCGGTAACGTTGCAGTTAGCGCATTGCTCTACGAACCCGGCAGCTTGGGTTCAATTCCCGCTCACGGCTGACACCAGTGACGATTATCTTGACTGGTCCTGGGCCTCCCCTAGGTCGACTCAGCCTCATATAAGTACTTGGTGTGGTTTGTAAACATCACCACCCACCCCCTCGCGTGCCATGCCGGCCTTCATAGGTGTTCGCTAACAGCAGTTGCTCCTATCGTCAAGAGATATACGGGGGGATCTTTGTCTGAGTAAGCGGGAAACAAACGTAATGTTTGAAGCCGCACAGTAAGATGGCATCGCATTGCATGAGATGTTGTAAGATGATGTCACATGTATATATCATCAGAGAGCGAAGATCCACACTTTCCCTGTAAGCTCTGGGTTTGTTTCAATGTTTGGGTATTCCTTTGAAAAATTTTGGCCAGTTTTCGATAAGCAGCAAAAGTTTTGTTCATATTGGATAATCTCTGTGCGAGTTATCATGACCCTCTGTGACAGACATGCAGGCGGGTAGAGCGATGCATTAACCATTTATAGATATTTTGGAGAGTAATAATAGGTTTTTCCACTTTTTTTCTGGCAACAAAACAGGTGTTAAGATGTTAAAACACCAAACTGAAACCTTTTACAAGGAATCATGTCTGCATTAACCACAACACTTGTGGTCAGAATGCAAACAAAAAAATACTCTGCAAACAAAAAACATACTCTGAAAGCTGTTTCTGGTGTGGACCAATGAGTTTCAAGGACAATGCATATATTATCAGAGTATGTTTTTTGTTTGCATTCTGACCACAAGCATTGTGGTTAAGGCAGACATGATTCCTTGTAAAAGGTTTCAGTTTGGTGTTTTAACATCTTAACACCTGTTTTGTTGCCAGAAAAAAGGGGAAAAACCTATTATCATATTTTGGTTCTGACAAATGAGGTCCCATGATGTTTTGGAGAGTGTTAAAATAAAAAGTTCCTTCAATAAAAAGCCAGGTCCATTGCCCGCTGTCACCAAAGGCAGCTCCACACTAGCAGCAGACAGAGGTTGTTCGCTTTTTAATTGTCCATGTTCTGTAGAACACAAGTGACTCCGGTTCTTTTAATGAATTTCCCACACTTTGGGAAATTACTTTTTTATGATTAAAGTTTGCACTATAAAACATTATGCTCAAAGACAGCACGGAAAAATAAGTAACTTTTGCCTCTAAGATGGATGTGTACTTTTGACAAATATCTTCAAAAAATGTTTTTGCCTTTGAATATGCATATTTGAAAATATATATACGTGTGAATTGCCTTATTATGAATCTTCATGGCTTAACTTTGTGTTGACACAAGAGAGGCATGGAGATGAGTGATATCATGATTTACCCCCCAGCTTTTCTGTGACTGTGGGCTGCAACTCAATGAGACAAATTAATTGTTTTATTGTCTAATTTCTTTACTTTGTATTTGTAATAGTTTATTTCCATCTCACATGTATTTGCTCGTTTAGCCTAAATATAACATTAGCATATAGTTTTCATCACATTATGGATAGTAGATTCTCAAAAGCATGATATATTGAGTGTTTCTTTCATGTAAGAATGGATTTTAATTAACAAATCGATGAATTAATATGGGGTTTATCATGTTCAACTCCTCCAGTGGAGCCCATATGCTACTCCTGAAATTGGAACATTCCACTCCTCCAGAGGAACCAACATTCAACTACTGGAGACTGAACATTCACTCCCGGAGAGTGAATATTAAAATAATCTAATGGTGAATATTCTACTCCTCCAGTAGAACCAATATTCAATTCCTCCAGTAGAGCCAATATTCAACTCCCGAGGGTGCCCACAGCAGCGCGTGGTGAAGGCTTCAGAGAAGATACGCTCAGCAAGCGGCTCTACTACCCGGACAATCCCACTTGGATTACCAGCGGTGCCTGTGGCGTCAATGTCCGTGTTAAATTGATGTATCGTTACCGGCCTAATGGATGCACACTCAAGTTTAATGCTTGTCACCTGGAACAATGACTGCTTCTCAAAGACATGTATAAGGTATAAAGGCTGCAATAATAAAAAGCGAGTGAATTTAGCAAACGGTATTTAATTGTCCAATTTATCATGTCAAAGTATTTTGTTACTGTCATTTGGTTGTAAATTAAATGTGATTTTTGTCATAGGAAAAGTATAGACTCTTTTTTACTCACAAAACTTAAGATGTTACTGTTAATTTCGAATCATTACCTTGATTACGCCAAATTACTCTGCTTGTAAAACGTCTGTAAGGAAACTAATGAGCAATCTAATGCGACCAAATGGGCAGGAATTACATTTCTTACGCCAAAACAAGTCAAATTAGGAATAATATTTGACAAAATAAGAATTTGCGTAATTGTATTATCAATTGTAATAATAAGTGGGATAACTACATTCAAGCTTTAAAGCAATAATGTAAAGATCGGGGTGCTCCTCTTCTCAATCCAATATATTAAGTCGAACATTTAAAAGCGAGACAGATCCACCGTTAGAATCCATGTTGGCGTACTGCTGGAAGATTCTACCGACTCCCCCCGGAGTCTGAATTTTCTCATGGACTGAGGCCAAGGTTACTAGTGAATGGAGTCTTTCAAAATGCGTTGAAGTCATGATCACCCGTATTTAACACGTCAAACTATGTGACAGTGAGACCTATTGCAACCAATGTGGTCATTCAACAACATTGATTTAATACGTATGCTTGTTTTTGTAAATAACACACATTACACGCACGGGAAGGAATTCATCTTCTCTGTCACCCTTTCACCCACAATTTCTATCATCTGCACAAGTCGGTGAGTCTGCAAGATCTATCAAGAGTGGCCACATTTTTCCAATTATCAGGAACAATTTTTTTTACGGTTAAATGGGAATTCAGGGAAAACAGGATCTGCTATTTTGGTCCCTTACAAAATAGTTAATAAAAAAACGTTCTCCTGTATTTAGACACTCTGGATGTAAACTATTGCTGGTCTCGGATCAACAAAAGACCTGGAACCAGTTACCGGCACCTGTTTTGAGATCCATCCTCGAGTCCGAGCCAGTTTTGCAACAGACATCAAACAAAGAGCCTACACTTTGTGATCAGCGTGCATTTGTGATGGACTGGACTCGTAGAAGTGCAAGATAACAAGTGTTCAGACTTACATACGTACTAGTGCTACGAATGTGGGTTGATAATAACGTACAGCTCTTTGTGAAGCCAGTGCCGCATTATAGCGTGGAAAACATTCAAAACTATTCGATGATTCTTGATGCATTGTAAACAAATTTAAGTCGATCACTTGTGCCTAATAAAAAAAATGTGGATGCCCCCCACATCCTTCACCCCAAAGGTGGGAAACCCCTACAAGCCACGCCCCAGATGACAAGGATCACGACGTCACCAAACCCTGCCCATCGTCTTCCATCCACAGCTCCATATAGGAACAGAAGTGACTTTGTTTATCCCAACAATTTTCGTATTTTTCGATTCATGGCATAAACGAACCAATAATCGGTAGAGTGATTGTTTAATGAAATAATAAAATAGCTCAGATCTCATAGATATGTAATTAAATGCCGATTACATTCGTGACTTTTGTAATGTTATGACATGCACATTGACGACAACATGTGACAATGGTTTGCTCCAAGCTCATTAAAATCAATGCCAAGTCAATACAGGTCGTTATCACACACGCGCACATACAAACTGGTGTTATGTAATTATTTTCATTAATTACATGCTGCTAATTAACTTGACGGGTAGAATCTGGGTGGAGTGGACATTATTGATGTCTCATGCAAATCAGGTCCCCTGTTTGAGCAGCAAGTCAAACAAAATAACAATCAGGATGTCGACAGTACTCAGCCTCCCCACAGGATCCCACCGAATGTAATTATTTCACATAATCTTTGATCAAATTGTTGATTAGTTGAGACAGCCACGTGCATTTGAACCATCATTGCAGAGTAAAATTGCTGTCCAAAATCATTTTAGCACAAGATAAGACTTGTCTCACTTCTGAAGAATTTCCATCAAAATCGAATTGACAAAAATGTGATGGCTCTTGGGACATGAAAAGAGTTAAACTAAACAATTTTTTCTTTTATTAGATAAGGCCCACTGAGCTATATAGCTCTTTTCAGAAGTCACATGGCCATAAATGATAGCACAATGAAGTGGCTTATGTGAAAACTTATATCAGTCAAATTCTATAAACGCATGTTTCTAAATGTGGAGGGAAAAGCCGGAGGACCCGGAGAAAAATGTACGTGGGGAGAACATGCAAACTCCAAATATACAGGAGGCGTCAAGGTTTTTGTAACAAAGCAATGCATTCAAGGTATTATGCACATCACGTCAACTGCAATGAACGTTTCAAACGAGGTTTGGCTGAGGTGTGGCTAGACTTTCTTTAAAAGGAAAGTTGTCCTTTAAATGCTAACATATCAGCTAAATCCCGAGTTACACTAAAACATGTAACAGACGCATGTAAAAAAAAAAGTTAATTAAAAATTCAATTGATTTCCAATAAGCCTGCAAACCATCCGCAGAAATCCACCCTCCCGACTGCCTGCACGCTCCATTTCTCTGTGAAGTGTCACGTCCCCAAGCAGGCATTCGGGCCAGGCTGCTATCGATTTTGAAGTTATTGTTCCGGGGAGCACCTGACGATTACCACGTTAACAAACGCCACACGTTGCAAGTGCACGCTGCGTAGCCCTATCTTTATTGCTGGGCTGATAGTTCTTTGGCCTTGTATTGACTCTTCTGAAATTAACCATGCATTCGTTTAAGCTTATTTATTTTGATGCCAGAGCGCGCAAGCAAGCAAGCAAAACGTCGCATCTTGTTTACGGGTGAAATAAGCACCCTTAATTAAAGCAGATAAGTAATAAACTATTGAGGTAAGTGGTGGCCTGGAAGTGTAGAGTTTTACTGGAAAGTCCAAGGGATCATCATTTAAAACCCTCATTATTGGATCTTGAGTAAATGTGCTAAACGAGAATAGGTAAAATGTGCACGTAGCTTCCTGTGAATATATCTGCTGTTAACAGCAGCAACAATATATCTGCATGTTGTCTTTATTAAACTATATAAAGACATGCATCATTCTTCAGAGGTGTTCAGTGTGTCATGCTTTGGAGATATCAAATGGCATTATCTGACAGTCACTTACTCATGTTTGTTCCCCCCTCTGGCAGAAGAATAGTCGTTCTTCATGTCTCTTTACATTTAAGGTAATTGGAATAATATAATTGAAGTTTTCGTGACTGCAGGGATCCATACTCTTTGGTTCTTTCGGTAAAGTCACGTAGGTATAAAATAAAATAAATTAAATCACGACGTTTTGGGCGCAACACAAGTGTCCGTCATCAGGTGGGACAACCACAGCAAAAAACAATTGCTGAAGTGGGCAAAAGGGGCTGCTGCAACAAGAGGCTACCAACACTTACTTCACCTGGAATGGTACTTTCTACAAACAAAATTAAGGTACCCCCATGGGTTTCCCGTTATCACCAGTGATAGCGAATGTTTTCTTGGAGAAATTTGAAACAGATGCCATCCAGACATCCACCCTACGTCATTCCTTGTGGAAGAGATATGTAGATGACACTTTCGTCATTTGGCCACATGGCCTGCCAGCATTGAACCAATTTCTCAACCACATTAATTCATAACACCCATCCATCAAATTCACCATGGAAGTGGAGAAGGATGGTAAGCTACCATTCATGGATGTTTTATTTGAGAAGAGACTTGATGGCTCGTTGGGACACTGTCTACAGGAAAGCCACCCACACAAATTCCTATCTGAAACCTGATTCCCACCACCATCCGGCACAGAAGAATTCCCTCATCAAAACACTACACCATAGGGCCCACTGCATTTCTGACCAACACCACCTAGCCAATGAACTGGAACACGTACACCAGGCCCTCAAGATGAATGGGTACTCGAACCACATTATTCGCAAAGCTGTTTCTCCAACCATGGAGAAACAACCCCCTGAGACGCCGATCAAAACCATCACGTTACCATACATAGCAGGCGTTACCAAAAATATTTACTAATTCTTAAACAAACACAAGATCCAGGTCCGATTCAGTACAGTACTCAAAATTTGTGATCTAATCCCATCTGTGAAGGATGTCATTCCTGACATGAAATATCCTGGAGTCTACAACTAAGTTGCACCTGTGGGGGGTGTTACATTGGGGAAACGAAACGACATATCTCGGACCGTGTTCGCGAGCACAAGTCAGATCTGAAACACGGCAGAACGAATACCTCTGCCGTGGCTGACCATTGCTATAACGCTGTGGGCTCTCATAATATTGTTTTTTCGGAGACCAAGGTACTCTGCAAACCGTCGGGCTACGATCAAAGGTTTGTTCATGAAGCCATCCAGATATATAAACACAGACATAACTTCAACCGAGAAGATGGATACAAATTGAGCAATCATTGGAAGGATGTTATTAACCAGGTAAAACCTTAACTGCTTTATGGCGTTGCCTTCATATCCGCATCTCCAGTTTCTTCAGCCTCCCAGTCCCAGCCCCGCTCACTCACCGCCCCCCCCCCCCTGGCATTTTGCCGTGCTCGCCATTTATTCCCCCTTGCAGTGCTCCACTTCCCCTACCCCACACCCCCCTAATAACCGCATCTTTTGTTTCTTCAGCCTCCCACTCCCAGTCCCGCCCACTCCCCCCCACCCCCAGCATTTCCTTGCTCGTTTCCTAACCCCCTCCTCCTACCCACACCCCCACCCTCTCTATCTCTCCTCCCTGACTCCTCCCCCCCTTCTCTTGCCTATATGGCCTCTTGTTGCAGCAGCCCTTTTGCCCACTTCAGCAATTGTTTCTTGCTGTGGTTGTCCCACCTGATGACGGATGCTTGTGTTGTGCCCGAAACGTCGTGATTTAATCTATTTTATTTTATACCTACGTGACTTTACCAAAGAGTATGAATAACATAATTGTTTATTAGCTCACAAGGAGAGGCTCTTCATAGCTCCCTCTAGTGAAGGCCCTCATTCCAGCCATGACGTGAGTGAGACATTGCAGGCTTTCACCTTCACCTGTACCTTAAGCTCGTCCACAGGCCCTTATTTTCCTTTATTTGCAGTGCTCCGCAAAATATTCTGCAGAATGCCGACAAGAGCAGAAATCTCACAACTTTCTGTTTTCCATCTTCTCGTACCCAAACAACTCAGCTTAGCCAACAGATACACTCATTTTGATTCGAAATTCACTCTCAAATGTCCCAACCGTGCGGTCAAAGCTGGTCTGATGTGACTACTAAAGTAGAAAGGAGCCAATGGTTGCTTCTAATTTTCAATAAAGCTGGGCCAGTATTAAGAGTACAATGCGATTCGGAATTATGATGTCCCTAAATGTGGCCACATCTCGGGTGTCGTGACATTCCCCACATTTAGAGGCCCCATCAGCACGTACGATGTGGACAAAACAAAGTCCTCAAAATGTAGTTAAATTACAAAAATTATATGTTTTAACGAACCATGATGCCTTTGGCAATGCACGCGACTCCTGTGGTTGACCGCTGTGGTTCCTCCAATGAATTCCACTTGGCATGACCTTTGCTATGATAATGGTTAGGGCTCGTGTCATGCCATTGCTGGTAGAAGGCATTCCCTCTTGTAGAATCATTCATGGATGGTGTTTGACCATGTATCACAATGCTGGTGAGTGTGGGTTGGTGAAGAGGAGGGCAGGTATTAAACGGAGGTAACCAGGTTAATAAGCACAGTGGGTCAACCACTGCTGCACTGCTCCACCGCACTAAAATACTAAATAATGTGTTTATTTACACAGTTTGTTTTATTTTCAAGTAACTTTTGCTAATATTGATTATATAAGTTGCCGTTAATGAGAAGATATGCTTGTAAATACACAGCTTCAGTCCAAAGATACACACGTTGTATCGAATAAATAAATGTTCACATTTTTCACATATGGCTACTAGTAAGCTGTATTTTTCAATACATTTGTTGTTTTTATTTTTGACCACTGGATAGCAATGTTTAAACACCAGGGGGAAAAAATGTGTATTTTTTTGTTGTAATGAAGCCTAAATATCCCCAAAAAAAACCTCTCCAACACAAAATATAAATCGACAGACAATCTTAGCAGTTCATGGTGCAGACACAGTCCTGAGAAGCACTCGTTCGTGATTAACAATGATGGGGAGGCTCATGGTTGGTGTCCCACCCACTCGTACGTGATTACAAAACGTCCTCTGCTCGGCCCTCTCTGTGAGAGGAGTGGGAGACAGGCGAAGCCATGCAGTGAACAGGCCATCTGGCTCTTGGGTGGGTGGGGAGCTGGCGATTTATCATTGGCTTTGACATGAGTTGCATCCGTGCCTCTTCGCAAGGAAAGCTTTGCTTACTTCGCATGTGCAGGCGGCGCAAACGTCTGAATGTTTGTGAGAGTTATTGCCGAGCTGACACAGCCACATGAATAGAAGGGAAACCACGGCGGAGAGCCGTTACTCTAAGAAGAAGTTCTGCACTTGAGATGTCTGAGTGGCTATGAGACCAGACTGCTGAGCTTGGCACTGCTGAGATTCTGAGATTAAACGTGGGTTTCAGCCATTCATGAATGAACCATGTTCTTAACGACATGACGCCACGAAAAAAAAACACCCAACATATAAAATTTGTTTATACACTCGGTTAAATTGTTGCTCTGGGAATTTAAAAAAAAGTACGCTTTGACTTTAATGCGGCATTATGTGCATCAAAGTACACCCCGGATTGTTGTGCATGAAAAGGGCCACTTGAAGCATATCTCGGAAATAATTCTGACATCTCATTTCGTCGACTATTCTCTCACACGGGAGTGATCCACTGCTCTGGGAGCAATTCTCGGTGGACATCTAGTCTCATGACATGGCACCGATAGAGCACTGGGGGAAAAAGACAACAACTTAAAAGATATATATTAATTTTGCATTCACCTGGGCAGGGCACGGAGCAGACTCTCTGCAGCTCCTCGGCAACCTCTCCATCTGGCACATCCTGCCGCTCGCCACACTTGTCATCCTCCTCGACGGCCATCGCCGAGTCGTTGGTTAGCCCGTCCGTCACCACACACGAGACGTTACGCACCTGGACACCTTCCCCGCACTGTGCATCCTGCATTGGAAAGTCGGCTCAGTCAGAGGCACACGCGTTTAATGTTTTGTGGCTGCACTCTCTCGTGCACACGTGAGCGGATTGGCACCCTTGCCTTGGCACGTCTCCATATAGAAACAGCTGCCACATCGTAGCAGCACGCCATTCCGAACACAAATGTATGAACGACACTGCCAACACTGTGCACATGTCCACATGGGCACATCACTGCTCCCAGTTTATTCAACCTTCACTCAGGACTTCCGCAGCTACACACGGAGAATTTAAACAAATTCAGCCTCGCGCAAACGTTCAGAATATATATATTTTTTCAAAGGGCGGAATTTGTGGGTGGGCATTGCACTCCTCAAATAATCACATTTGATGCTTAGACGTCTGATTATGGGTGTACACACATTATCAGTAGCTTGTCTATCAAATCATTGGTTCATTTGGTATTCGTGCCATTGTACGTCTGAATGTATGTTTAACTTTGCACTCTGCGTAAGCCAACCGTCCTAATCGGAGGTGCAAGACTATCACAAAAGGGCTCCGTTTCACAGCTGAGAATCGCGTGGAGTCATTTCACAGTGAGAGTGATGTCGCCATGTGGTTTTACGAGATTAGGTAATTTGTGAGTAATGTTCAAATTTCGACCATGAAGGCAGTAGACGCGGCCTACTTTTTTTTCATTGGGTCTCCATTGTGAAGCAGAAGATGCACATGTTGTGGTTAATGTACCAGCAGTTTAGCATTAACCAGAGAGACATCTGGGCTTCAAACCCCTGCAGCAAGTGGCAAACGTGCGACCGCTCGGCCATGTCACTGCCCTCAACTGCCTATGGAACTGTGAAAAATACACACAGCCACTAGGGAACTACTCTAGTCATGTGTGTATTCCAGTGCTAGGTTAGTGCCTAAACCCCACCATACTGCTTCCAGTGAAAGCATACTACAGGATCAATGTCTCAGAAAAATAAAAATAAGAAAGAAAAAAAACAGAAAAAAAGTTTTACTGCAGTAGCCTCAGGTTCCCAAGTGGCCCAGAAATCTCTCACTGGGAATCACCGACTGTGGACTCTAGTGAAGCTGGAAATGTCATCTAATACTGGAAGCTGTCAGCTTCGTATTTGTTTTTCCTGTAGTAATTCCTCACCTAGTGAACTAATGACACCGATAGATACCGTGTACTATATTACAGCCCTTGTCAATCTAATTCTGGATGAAGGCCTCCCGACACCATATTTGCCATGGGGGTTGTTTGACCATACTTCACAACGCTGGTCAATGCGGGTGGGGGGGGGGTCGTGATCGGTTCAGATATAATTCGCCACTGATGCTAGTCATGGCTGGATATCAATATGAAGTTGCTGCACTCGTAGTGCAGTGTGCTAACAACTCCGGAGGTATTCTGAACACCAATACATTCCCAGTGACTCAGCTGGCAAAGACAAATCATAAAGGCTAATTTTTTTATTTTATCTTATTTTGTTTTATTTGTTTCATTTTATTTTATTTCTACCTACGTGACTTTACCGAAAGAACCAAAGAGTATGGATTCCTGCAGTCACGAAAGCTTCAAATCAAGAATGAAGGCTCGATAAAGCCATTTAAGTGGACCCAGTGAACAACATTATCTGGATCCTTCGTGGCCTTAAGCCCATGTGATCAATAATATCACTCTGAGGAATGCGTGGCCTGAGTATAATAGTTGAATTCATGCACATGTGAATTCCTATCATATCCTTGCCGGATGGGGGTTGATCTAACATGTCAGGAAAATCTGTGTGGAAAGACAAAAGTGGTTGTCCTGCAGAGAGACTGGACTCCCCTTTGCTTTTTTGGGAGAGAGACAATTTGACATTTGACGACGTAAATAATTAAGCCAGAATTTAGCAGTAATTAAATATTGGTGAAAGGTTGAAACATGTGATGATTAGGAATGTAATGATGCATTGATGTATTTATGAATATTGGTAAGCTCATGATAAATGGATCAAATTGTATTGGATTGATGCCTTTAAATCTATTATAATTTGTATGCAAAGGGTTCACGTGGCTCCTGCAGCCACTCGTGGCCAATACATTGCGCCACGACGTTAATTTGTTTTTCTTTTTATTGAACAGTATAGCTGAATCGCGACCATTCATCGAACTGCAATAAAAAACAAGCGACATCATTTATCATCAAAGGAGCTGTGGAACTCCCGCGCTGTAGATCGATAAAAATACAATCTATAGAGGTGGCCGAGTGGTTACAGGCCTGTGATCAGAGCTGTCCCGAGGGTACGGCGAATCGGGCCGATTGTCCCGGGCCCCGCGTTTTGGGGGGCCCCGCACTTTGATGTGACGGTGTCAGATGTAATATTTCCGGTTTAGTTTGAAGGCATCGGGGGGAGGGGGGGGACCCACACAGTAGGATTTTCTTGGGGCCATGCACCCCCGGTCCTGCCTGTGATTAAATCAAGTTCTCGAGGACAGCGAATTGATTATCTCAGCCCAGTCACCAATGACCGCACAAAAAAAGACAATCACATTAAATGTGGTTCTGCACTTAATTTGGATAAATTCCAGCTTTGAAAATTAAATATTAATTTGGCTGTCATGCGATGAAAATTACTCATCGCATGAGTAATGGTTCCTTATACAGTGTGGACTTGCTTCAAAGTTCATTTCATTTCAATTAATAGGTATAGCCCTGTGAGCCATTCGGCTCTTGAATCGGGTGCAACCGCAACAAACAAACAAACATGAACAAGAAAACATCTTGCTGGCGGTCACTTGCAAGGATCTCAGTAGTAGTTCTATGACAGCTGCTTCCTTCGGGCGTTCTGTTATACAAACAGATGGCACTGCTCTGAACATGAAACTGACGGCACAACTGGGATAAAATTGGAGAGGGGGAGCGGTTGGGGAAAAACTCAAATGTGTGCACCTGGAGCAGGCAGCCGGACCACTGGCCGTACTCCCAGCGGTAGCAGGGCAGCACGGGGCACGGCTTGCTCTGCTGCAGCTGGGATGAGCAGCGCCTCCCGTCTCCCTGGGCTGGGCGCAGCACTCGTCTCTCCCTGCGTATAACTCCTAAATCGACACGACACGACACAGAGGTTCAGGCCGGGCATCTGGGCGACTGGGAATTCGTTTGGTACGCCGAACGTGGAGTCCGAGGCGCCTCATCCTTCAGGCAACTTAAATCAACAGGCAACTGATTGAAGCCGAGATTTATGTCACGCTGTGTGATGACCCAATTCCAGGCTTGGCTTATCAGGTAAATACCCAGTTGCCTGGTGAATCAGGCCACTCGGAACACTAGAGCAAAGGGTCAGAACACTTGTGCTTCTACACGTGGGTACACACGAACAAATACATATACACAATGACAGACACTATCATCATCATCATCGTTGTCATCATCATCTCCACGTCCAGAAATGTCCTGGGTTAGTTAATAAATAGAATGTCTGCATCCCTTCCTGTCTTACCATCTCTTTCTCTCTCTCCCATCCTTCTGCAGCCCTATCACTCTTTTTAAAGCCTCCATGACACCATCTTCCCACTTTTTTCTTAGCCCTCTTCTTCGCCTCTTGCCTGTCCCATCGTCTCAAGGAGTTCTCCTTCTCCGACTATGTCCACGATCCGCTTGTTCCTCACCCAATTCAATCTTCATTTCCCCTTAATTTTGGAGCTTTCGTGACTGCAGGAATTATTCTTTGTTTCTTTCGGTTAAGTCACGTCTAAAGATAAAATAATAAATTAAAATAATAGCATATTACGACGTTTCGATTGCAACACAAGCAATCATCATCAGGCATAAAAGAAATAGCAACAAAAATCTAACTAGAAAACTATAGACAGACATACAAGCAGACAGACATCACAACGGCACACAGAGAGAGGACACATATCGGCACAAAGAGAGGGGTCGTTTCTGTGACGGTCCCTTAAATATATATAGAGAGGGACCGTCACAGAAACGACCTCTCTCTTTGTGCCGATATGTGTCCTCTCTCTGTGTGCCGTTGTGATGTCTGTCTGCTTGTATGTCTGTCTATAGTTTTCTAGTTAGATTTTTGTTGCTATTTCTTTTATGCCTGATGATGATTGCTTGTGTTGCAATCGAAACGTCGTAATATGCTATTATTTTAATTTATTATTTTATCTTTAGACGTGACTTAACCGAAAGAAACAAAGAATACTTCATTTCCCCGCCGCATTTCTAAGGTGATGCATTTTAGTTGCCGTTGCTGGGACTGTGACCTTAAGGTCGTAGGAGGCTTTCAGTGCCTCGTTCATCCAGGAGCTCGAGTTGCTCACAAAGGTGACCATCCTAGGCGGCTGAGTCGATGGAGAGGGGCGACACAAATAAAGAGTCCAAAGAGACACGCCGCAAGCGACTGTATCTGCGTGACACGGATAGAGCGGATCAGTGCAGGACAGGCAGGTTTGCAGTGAAGGGGTTACTAAAGGGCGAATATGGAAGACCTACATTCAAGAGGCAATGGCTGCATGTAAAGCCCCGGTGTGTCCCACCGCTGTGTGATGTAGCACGGGTGTAACTTGATGGGCTGATCGGTATCACATCACCATCATGCCTCGTTGATAATAATAAAAAAAGGAAACAAGCTTACGTTTATTTGGCTCAATAACAAAAATATGGACATGTGTTTATAAACTCTTTTGAGCTTCACCAACGGGGCATAGTTAGCTGCGTTTTAGTTAAATGACAGCTTCATCTCACACACATACACACAGTGTGTTTTTGTAGAAAATGTACACTATACACCTAATGGTCTATACTCATTGTTTTTTTCTTCGGTAAAGTCACGTATGTAGAAATAAAATAAAACTAAATTAAATGAAAATAAATCATGACGTTTAGAACGCAACACAAACGATCATCATCAGGTGGAAATGGGGTAGAACACATAGCGAGGGAACACACAGGGGGACATCACACACGTAGCACACAGAGAACGGCAAACTGCACGGAGGCAAATACAACAAGAGGATGCGAGACGAGATATCAACAAACCTTAGAGACATAATGTGATGCAAAACCAGTCGACACTAACCTGGTTGACCACGTATTTCAAAAGACTGCTAATGGTCTGCCCGTCAATGAAAATGGCACACAAAGCAGACACCTAAGACAAAGATCCCCCGCTGTTAGCGAGTAGCACCTATGAAGGCTGGCCTACGCCACAGGAGGGGGTAGGTGGCCAACACCACGCCCGGCCGCCTTTCTCTCTCTAGTGACGATATTTACACACTTCACTAGGTACTCATTTGAGGCGGAATCAACCTAAGGGAGGCCCATGACCGGTTCAGATAATGGTCGCTGGTGTTCGCCATGAGCGGGAATTGAATTCGGGTTGCCAGGTTTGTAGCGCAGCGCGCTAACTGCTACACTACCGCTCGCCAAACAGCAGACACCTAGACATTATGCACACACGTGCACGCAATATATGCAGTGACATGCATATAAATAGACAAGCACATTATAGACAAAAGTGCATATTATACACTGCAAAATGAGTGTACTTGCGTATAAATGGGGGGCACACATCTTGGCGGGCAATGAATGATGGGAAGGAAATGAGACTGAGAAATTGAGGCCAGTGGAGGAGAGTGGAGCATTTATTTTAGCGGAGTCCCCATCATAGGAGCTTACCGTTCAAAACAATCTGATTCACCTTTTGTTGTTGACAAATAATGAAACGTAACCTGTTTGATTTTTTTTTTGTTTTGAAAGATACTTTCCTGAAGTCTCTTGAAATTATAAAAAGGTGGCCAGGAGAGTAACTTTCTATATTACGTGGCAGAGTTTCATAAGATTCATGAAAGCCTATAAATGTCAACAATAATGTTTGTAAACCCAACTATTAAAATAACGTATTTCTCTCTTTCACTCTCATGTATACATTCCTGAGTGCAAAATTGCTTCATCATGCTTGTTTATTTCTTTACTTCGTTTGTATACAGGTGTTTTGTCTCTCTGCTTAAAATGGTTTCTGATGCACGATCACAAACAGGCCCGAAAAACGCAGCGAAGCCACATCAATGCTACTGCTGCCATCGCTGCAAAGTAGGAATATTTTCCTTAATGTGATAAAATATGATTTAGCATAAAAAGGACAAGCAAAGCCAAGTGTGAAGAGGCAGGACAAAGATTGAGTGGATTGAGGTCTCTGAAGGGGAACTGGTAATTGACTAAAGGTTGCCGGGGAAGTGCAGGCATTGTAGTGACAGGTGACGGTGAGAGATGAGAGCATGTGTGAAGCTTACATCTCCCTAGCATGAAGAGGCCACTTAAACAAGGCAGCCCCTAATTAAGGCCCTTCTCGTGGAATGTGCTGCCAATTTGAAATGCCTCCAAAGCATGTCTCAGCTAAAATAAAATTGAAAAAGGCTACTGCAGTTCAGTGCATTCCCGTTCCACCGTGCATTGTGAACCGTGTAATGAAAAAAAGTCACTATTGTTTACAAACAAGAGACTATTGCTGATGCTGCAATAAAAAAACAACACGAGCTTTATAATGAATTCATATATTTTCATAAGGAAGTGCCGATGAAATGCACTGACTGCACACCACTGGTGGGTTTGCGGCAAATAAAAGAGTCAAATAAACCTCATCAGATAAAAGAAAAGCTATCAGAAAAGAGAAAATTGAACTTGCAGCAGAAGCTCTCGCAGGCTTGGCTGTGTTTGCGCAGTGAAGTTACGGGGTGAGAAATGTGAACGAAGCAGAGAATAACGAAACACTCAACATTTACTTAAAACTGCCACATTAGCCTTTTCTACAAGGAGGAAGAAATACAAAATTACCATTTTTCACACTGCTAAAACTAAAAAAATACATAAATAAATCGGTGACCATTTTTCACACGAGAAACGCAAACGGGCAACGGTTTTCCTTTTGGTGGGCACCACGTCAGGCATTGGCGTCACCAGTGTTTCCTTTCTCCCCAGTATTTCACAGAGGCATTCGCTCCACGGCAGCGGGAAATTGATGAGGCTGACAGAGCTATCAGCTCAACTCCCTGCACAAGTCTGTGGGGGTTGATGAATAATCCCTGCAGGGGAATTTTCTACGGCACGATGACCAGAATTGCTTGCAAGTGCGACTCTCTTCTTTTGCCCATATTAATGTCCATACCGCATAACCTGGCTGCTCCCCCCCCCCCAACTATTTTATTATTATTATTATTAAACATAAGCACGAAGGGAGGAGGGGAAGAAGGGGTGGGGGTTGTTGGGCGTGGGGGGTAGTGTCCAGCAGCCTAACTCAGTTGGGAATTAAATCAAGATTCAATTTAATTCAGACACGTATTTTCTTTTGATCCATGACAGAAATTGGTTCTGCCTCTTGCTTTGAGCACCTGCATTTATTATTATTGAATTTAAAACCATTACTTTGGTTATTTGTTATGCATGTGGGGAACACAATTTCACGGAGGCGCAGCGGTGCATGGCCGATGCATTGTTCTCCAGACGTGCATCCAGCCAAAGTTATTTCTATGCTCGACATTGATATGAAGAAAGGCAACACGCTGTTTAAAGGGATTCTGGACACAGATTGAAATTACTTCCTGACATTATTATGTCAAGCCCATTAGCCAGCCATGGTCAAAATAACTGCAAGTTGTAGAGTAATTAGCACTAGCTCCAACGCAGAATAATTAGAATTAAAGGACACTTTGCGAATTTGAATGAACTCTCTTTAATATTGAAGAGTTTTTTTCCCCATTATATGGAGATGTGTGAGAATTAATTTCATAATTTTCACCGATGACACCAAGTGTAACCTATGTACGTTCTGGATTGTTCTGCAATCAAAACTTTAGTTGGTTCTTAATTATAGGGTCTCGTACATTAGTTTTAAACTAAAACTTTTCCCAATTGCACATTTGGGAACACATCTTCTTATTTTTAAGAACGAACAAGTTTTTCTAAAATCGAATGAATCAAATGAAGGTGATAGCACGTATCATGCAAAAAAATGTCTTGCAGGTTTATGTCACTACATTAGCTATCTTCACGTTAGCCACCGAGAGCTGAGATGAAATCAACATGAGACAAAGCCTACAAATGGTAACACAGAATCGAGAGCTTACTGGAGAGTGCTTGTCTTGTTTTCTATGTTCACCAATAGCAGTCACTATTTAACTGCGTCCAACTCTTCCGTACAGAATACACTTTTGAAGATAACATGTTTGGGTAGACTATGAAAGTAGTCTATATGAAAATGCGACCCAAATTCCGTATTTATCAGAAGAACTCTTGCACCCATGCAGAGATGCTTTGGTGGCTCTCTGGTACAAGATACAGCACCGAACTTTTGTATTCTATTCACAAACAAAATGAAATGCGTTATCTTCAAGGGGCTAATAAAATCTATATTTTGGTATATGCAATTCTTTGACTCCTGCCACAAAAGTAATGTACTTTGTTGGTGCAATTTTAAAAACAAATAATAAATGTGTCACAAACAAACAAGCGAGAGAGCGAGCGAGCGAGCGAGCGTGTAGCGAATGGTCGCACACCTGCCAGGCCGCAGGTGTGCGAGCACACGGACCACGGTGACCACTCGGACAGCTGGCAGTTGATTGGGCAGGGCACCAAGCAGGGCACAGCGAGCCTCCAGGGCGACTCCAGTCCCTTCTGTGGATGCAAACGACCACAGGGCATAAGGGGTGACAGACAGGACAAAGATCCCACTCGTATTCCCGTTAACAGACTGTGGGGGCAAGTGCTGTTTGCGAGCACCTATTAAGGCCCGTAGGGCACACAAGGGGGTGGGCGGCCAGCGTCACACCAGACCACCTTTGCCTCCCCAGTTTGGATGTTTAACGAATGCCCCAGGTACTCATTTAAAGGCTAAGTCGAGCTAGAGGAAGCCCAAGACTGGTTCAGATGATCGTCACTGGTGTTAGCCGTGAGCAGGAATTGAACTCGGGTCACTGGGTTTGAGCTCAGCATGCAAACCGCTGCACCATCGCTCCCCACATGATGGATGACACACACAGACACACGGCAGCCATCTACTGACAATACCCATGTATTGGTAACACCAGCACACACACAACTGCATACATTTGCAACGTGTCCACTACACATGTACAGACACAGGCCCTTACACAATCAAGACGCAAATCCGCGAGATAGGACTGTAAATGCTGTTGGAGCAAGTGTTTGTTAATGAGAACCTATTAACGACAGGAAAGCACACTAGGGGATAGTGTGGCGAACACCAAGCCTGGTTACTTTTGTCTCCCCGGTGCTGATGTTAGCATACCACACCAGGTACTCATTTAAACACATTTTTTTAAACAATTTTTTTAAACAATTTTTTTTTTACAATTTTTTTAAACAATTTTTTTTATCATCATCATTTGACCACAAGTATTGTGGTTAATGCACACGTGATTTCTCGTAAAAAGGTTTCAGTTTTGTTGCCAGCAAAAAGGGGAAAACCCTATTATTATATTTTGGCACTGGCAAAGGAGGTCTAATGATGTAGATGCTTACCCCGAGCTCTCATTACTTTGATAGTGCTTTGTCTTTGAGTTGTACGCCATTTGGCGTCCTCTGGTCAAGCACCAATTTAGACGAGGCTCAGAAGAAAGCCGTCTCTGGTGTGGACCAATCAGTTTCAAAGACAATGCATATATTATCAGTGTGTTTTTTGTTTACATTTTGACCCCATGTATTGTGGTTAATGCAGACATGATTCCTTGTAAAAAGGTTTCAGTTTTGTTGCCAGAAAAAAGAGGAAGACCCAATTATGATTATATATTTTTTTATTTTACCAGGTAAGGCTCACCGAGCTATATAGATCGTTTTCAGAAGCGACCTGGCCACAAATGATAGCTCAACGAAGTGGCTTATCACGTCGAAATTTACAGCAGCCAAATACTCCAAACGCGTGTTGATTCATAATATGTGGAGAGAAAAACTGGAGGACCCGGAGAAAAATCCACGTGGCCACAGGGAGACAGACATGCAAACTCGAAATTTCCAGCAGGCGTCAGGGTCGGGATCGAACCCACAACCTCCTGTATACCAGGAGAGGCAGTGAACATCTTGCCACCGTGATGCCACCTGGCTAAGTTAACCTAGGGGAGGGTTCAAAACTGTGGTTTCGATACCACTTTGCTACCTTTTTGACTGTACTATGGTACATAGCTATGGGTTCATAGCACAGTACACTTACCATTGCGCCACCACCTCCCCCCCACACACACGTATGCAATGACGCTCACTCATACATGCGCACAAATGCATTAATATATTAACAATCAAACGTAAAAAAGATAAAGAACCTCTGTTTATCCATTTATCTTTACATGGTCCGTGAGCACCTACTAAGGGCAGCACAAGACATGACATAATGTAGACAGTCAGGTTTAGTGCTGGCTTTCTACCATAGACCTAATTAAGCCTAAGCCAACCTAGGGGATGTCAACGACAGTTTCAGATGCAGCTTGTTACAGATGTTATCGATGTCCAGGAATCAAACGCAAGTTGCTGGATTCAAAGTGCAATGCACTCGCCTCTGCGCCACTGTTTCCCACACACAACAATAACAACAACAATAACAATCATCATTCACCCACTAAGTGCTGGAGGAGGCATCCCCTTGGCGCCAGTGCCAAGCTTGGGGTACTTAACATACCACGACGATGACCACGCAGAGTGGAGAAGGTTCGCTGACAGGTCAAATGACATGTTATGGGGTCACAGATTTGAGTAGCTTGCATTCATCAAACCAGGTATTGCCTAGGAATAAGTACGGGCAGGCCATTCGGATGAAAGACAGAAAGCACGGGTATATTTTAAATGTTTGTCGTATTTAAAAAAGGATTAAGGTGATATTATCCTCATGATCATCGGGGCTTCATGTCAACCAGATCTGTGTCCGGCACATGGAAGGGGCTATTAGTTACGTGCCTACTTCAGTTTACGAGCAACCATACAAATTTTCAGTGAGAAATTAAGCCGTGATCATTGCCAATTCCTGTGAATGTGGCGGAACAGCCGATGAGCTGCATGTGCACTAAGGTATTATGCACCTTAAATGTGCAATTAATTATCAAATGAAAGAAATCCAGCATATTCAATTTGAAGAGTTTTCTCTGGGCAGTTTGAAAAATATGAAAACACTAGCTGTGTAAAATAAAACTCCTACACTCCTTTAGCTATTGTCTCAATTTATTGCTCATGGAAATTGGTCATAATGTCGTGTTTGATGGCAACAACTACCCAGGCAGGGGTCTTGCTTTTACAGAGCTAATGGTGAAGTTTCAACTCGATATAAAAAGCTCTGACTAAAAATGTAGCAGCACTTTAAACTACAATGTACTGGTAGGAGCCACCTGGTTCCACCAGCCCACAGGGGATTAGTTTGTCCGTCCGTCCTGCATCACAAAATGGGAGGGGTGGGGCTGGGTGGAGAGGGGAGGGTGGGGAGAGGCTGGGTGGGGAGGGGGTGGAGGGGCTGGGTGGGGAGGGTGGGGCTGCGTGGGGAGGGGCTGGTCACCCTGTGGTGCCCTTATAAAACTCAACGTTTAACCTACACACGCCGGCTTGTGTCCGCCCTCACAGTCGGCCATATTTGCGGAATACACCACGCCGCTGTTGACCCTGGCCATTGACCGAGCAACCCAACGTTCCTACCAGCTCCCTCCGCAGGAATGTGTTAATGTTGGAAAGTCAACTGATATACGCTCTAACATACAAAAACAACAAAGATTCCCCTGCAGGTGACAGACTGTTGGGAAAAGTGTTGTTAGTGGGCACCTATGAAGGCTTGTATAGCACATGAGGGGGTGGTGTAGCTTGCTCCATGCCCGGCCACCTTTGTCTCCCCAGTGCTGATGGCTTACACACTGCATCAGGTACTCATTTAAGGATGAGTCGACATAGGAGTTGCCCAAGACTGTTTCAAATAATTGCCACCAATGTTAATGATGGCCAGGAATCAAAGCCAGCTACCAAAGTGTGATACTGCTACGCTCAAATAAATGATCTCACAAGTACATGTACAGTATACGAATACGTACAAGCACGGACGCCTGTGTAGTGACATAGAATGGGTGACGAGGGCGCGTAGCGCTGGTCACTGATAGAGAGCAGGATTGTGGGTATAGTAGCCCGGTCGACCAGCAGGGCAGGTGAATTGTCCCACTAGAGCGCTTAGCGCTGGTTGCTGGCAGAGAGGGGATCTGAGGACACAGCAGCCGGTCTGCCAGCAGGGCACGTGATAGGCCGGGGTGAGGGATGTGGGGTAAAGATGGCAGAGGGGACACGTGGGGCAGGGCCCAGAACCTTCTGGTAGGCTGCAGAAGGGGGCGTGGCCGAGGGCGGAGCCAGGCCACGCTGGGGAGGATAAAAGGGAGGCCTCGACGCTGGGTCAGGGCTGTCATTTGGAATGGAACCCGTCGTCTATGCAAGTCTCCGTCCCCATCTCACCTCCTCAGGCAGTGTGCCGGCTGTCCTGACCCGATTGTAGTTATCCCCTGTACTGTGGAAGTATAGAATAAACGTGTGTGCCTCCTACTTTGCGTCTCTGAAGTGACTACTACACATGTACACCACATATACCAACACGCATACACACGACAGCGCACACGCAACAAAATACATCAGCACAGTGTGCAATTCTTTGCGGTAAATCTGTCGACTTTGAAAAAAAATTGTTTCTCTAGAGCATTTATCCATTCAACGAGTAGGGTTATCTAATAGTTCACAAAACATATTAAATTCTATTCGCAGGAGCAACCACAGTGGCTGCAAGTCAATTCTTTACTGAGCACAATATTGGAAATATTGAAAACATATATACATTGCTATGGCTCTAGAGAAATCGTCGGTTTTTGGGCAAGATTCTATTTATTATCAGAAAAGATTTTTGCACAATATTTTAGTATGATGATGATGGATATAATGAAGATGATTAAGATGGTTCTTGGACATACAAAGCTTTTTCTCATCATATTCACTGGAGAACGACCAGTGCGTAGTGCAGTCGTTTTGAAATTATAGAATATACAATGTGGTACATTGTAAGTGCATTCCCGTTAACATAATAACTTAGTTATGTCGGCGCTTTTGTGTGGATAGACTGGTTAACCAGTAAACAGACAGGTGAACTTTGTTTATGAGCAGACAAGAGCCCATCGAGGCCAGAATTAGATTTTTTATAAGAAGGAACATTTGGGTTTCAGATTAATGGAACATCCAAAATAGAACACCGTGTGCCCTGTTGCTGAACGCAAGGGTTATTTGTTGATTTTTTTAATTTATTTTCAATCAAATGTGCTAGTATGTGTTCAAAATAACATCTTTGTGAAGTTGTAAACATTTACAAATTAAATGTCTGTGGATTATATAACTTAGGAGAATGACAAAATGCAGTAAGTTAAATGCATTGCTTATAAGAGCAAATTAGTTCGTTGATATGAAAGTGTAAAGTTGAGTACACAGCATCCAGGGAACAACCTCCATGGTCGGCATCAACCAGTGCCACACAAAGCAAATCCAATAATGACAAAAAGCTATGAATAAAATAAACACGTCAATAGATTTAGTTTCCACCCTGACAAAACATACATTTAATTATTACATTTATTTATAACCAAGGGATGGCCCAGTTGAGACCA